TGGGGAGTGGGGCCACTGAGTCATGTGGTGCACAGGGACTGTGTCAGCTATACAGGCCATGGTGGCTTGGTGGGGTGTGACAGGCAGGGCCACTGAGGTGTACAGTAGGTGGAGGAGTGGTGAATGGGCAGCATGCAGGAAGCAGGGCCATGGAGGTACATGGCACACTGTAGATGGCTATGGTAGCTGAGGCTTTCTTTCCAACCAGGACTGATGGTGGCAGCTTTTGTGGTGCTACTCAGGTGGTGGCGCCTGCAGCACTAACTAGATGGCAGTAGCAGATGCTGGGAGTTGAGGCTCCTGCTCTGCTCAGATGCCCTGGTGGTGGGGGGACACACAGCACCCAAGTACAGGGCACACAAGAGTGCCTGCCCTCTTCATTCCCTCCCTGGCCTGGCAGGGGCAATAGGGAGGTGGCTGCAGTGGAGCCGACTCTTGTGCAAAGCGGGTACTCTGGGGCTGAGATCTCAAAATGGCATCAGTTGCAGGAATCCAGGATCATCAGAAGGCAGTGGGACCCCCTGATGTCTGCTCTCCAGAGCAATGCTGCTGCACAGTCCCTAAGCAGTTCCCTCATCAGTCCAGAAGTCTGCCATGGTGGTGGTGGGGCCCCCTCACAGCTCAGGTTGCAACGTCCACACAGGGGGAGTGTGGAACCCTGGGGTTCTCTTGTCTGACCCTTCCCCACATGTGGGCACCTTCCCCAGGTACCTGGTACCTTCCAACCCTGCCAAGTGGTTCACCCAGCTTCCCTCTCCTTCACTTCGGGTGTCTCTCTAAGATGATCCATCCATAGGTGAACATCTACTTGCAACTTGTGATCCTCTCCTTGAGAGTGGCATGTGCAGGCTATTTCTAGTCTGCCATCTTGGCCTACCCAACATTTAAAGAAGTAACACCTACTTTTCCCAAACTATTCCAAAAAAATAAAGAGGAGAGACTTCTTCTTCACTTATTCTGTAAGGCCAGTATGACCCAGATACCAAAACCAGACAAGGACACAACAACAAAAGAAAACTGCAGGCCAGGGGGCCTGATGAACATAGATGCAAAAATCCTCAACAAAACACTAGCAAAGCAAATCTAACAGCACATCATAAAGATAATACACCACGATCAAGTGGGATTTATGTCAGGAATACAAGGATGGTTCAACATATGCAAATCAATAGATGTGATAATCAACTGAATAAAGGACAAAAATCATATGATCATTCCAATAGATACAGAAAAAGTATTTGATCAAATTCAACATTCCTTCATGATAAAAACTCTGAATACATTAGGCATAGAAGGAACATACCTCAACATAATAAAGGCCATTGTACCCCACAAATATATACAATCATTATTTGTCAATTGAAAATAAAATAAATACAACGTCCATTCATGATTTCAAAAACTAACACTTAGCAAAACAGGAATATAAGAGAAGATACTTAATCTAATGAATGGTATCTATAACAATCTACAGTACACCACATTATAATGGTGAAATGTTGGAAGCTTTCCATCTGAGATCAAGGATGAGACAAGGATCCCTGTTATCACCACTATTATTCAACAATGCTCTAGACTTCCTAGCCCAGGCAGTGACATAAGAAAAAGTAAATGAAAAATATAAGGGTTGTAAAAGATGAAACAAAGCTATTATTATGTGCAGATGATATGATTGTATGCAAAGAAAATGCAAAATAAACTATAGTATAGAAAAATATAAAATCAAAACTCAAGTTTTATATAACAGCAAAAATAGTTATTAAAATAAAGTGCCCTTGTCAATAACATAAAAAATAGCAGATACATGGGTATACATTAATAAGAGATATGTAAAACTTCTACACTAAAACCATAAAACATTATACACAGAAATTAAATAATACCTATATCATATTGGCACAAAAACAGAAACATAGAGCAAAAGGAACTAAATAGACATCCCAGAAATAAACTCACACATATATGGTCAATTAACCTTTGAGAAGAACACCAAGAATACACAAAGGGGATAGGAAAGTCTCTTCAACAAATGTTGTTGGAAAAACTGGATATCCACACACAAAACAATGAAATGGGGCCCTTGTCTTACACCATATACAAAAAAAAATTAACTCAAAATGGATTAAAGACTTAAATGTAAAATCTAAAACCATTTAACTTCCAGAAAAAAACATAGGGAAAAAGTTCCTTTACGTTAATCTTTGCAATGATATTTTGGATATGACTCCAAAAGCACGGGTAACAAGTGCAAAAATAAACAACTGGAACTACATTAAACTAAAAAATCTTCTGCACACGGAAGGAAACAATCAACAACACAAAAAGGCAACCTACAGAATGGGAGAAAATATTTGCAAACCATATATATGATAAGGGGTTAACACTCAAAATATATAAGGAGCTCATACAACTCAGTAGCAACAAAAACAAATCACCCAATTAAAAAGTGGGCAAAAGACATGAATAGATATTTCTCAAAAGAAGGCATACAATGGCCAACCAATATATTAAAAAAATGCTCAACATCACTAATCATCAGGGAAATGTAAATCAAAACCACAATGAGATATCACCTCACACCTGTTAGCGTGGCTAATGTCAAAAAGACAAGATAATTGTTGGTGAAGGTGTGGAGAAAAGGGAACCCTTGTACACTGTTTGGTGAGAATGTAAATCAATACAGCCCTTATGGAAAACACTGTGAAGGTTCCTCAAAAAATTAAAAATACAACTACCATGTGATCCAGCAATTCCTCTTCTGGGTTTATCCAAAGGATATGAAACTATTATCTTGAAGAGACATCTGCACTCCATGTTCTTTGCAGCACTATTCACAATATCCAAGATATGGAATCAACATAAGTGTCCATCAGTGGATGAATGGATAAAAGAAATGTGGTACATATTCACAATGGAATACTATTCAGCCTTAAAAAAGAAAGAAATCCTGTCATTTGTGAAAACATGAGTGAACCAGGAGGACGTTATGGTAAGTGACATAAACCAGGCACAGAAAAACAAATACTGCCTGATCCCACTTATATGTAGAATCTAAAAATCAAACTCATAGAAATAGTAAAATGGTGGCTGCCAGGGAGTGGGGCACACAAGGAAATGGGAAGATGTTCATCAAAGGGTAGAAACTTTTAGTTATAAGATGAACAAGCTCTGGGGATCTAATGCACAGCACAGGTGGTGGTGGATGTGTTAACTAATTTGATTGTAATAATAAATACACAGTGCATATGCATAGCAAATCATCACATAGCATACTTTGAATACATACAATCTTTATTTGTCAATTAAATATTTTAAAATAAAAAATAAAATTTAAATGGAAGGGTATTTCCTGTTCATGGATTGAAAAATTTAGCATTTTAAAGATGTCAAATCGTCACAAATTGATCTATAGATATGATGCAATCCTCCTCAAATCTCCAATATATTTGTATGTGTGCCTAGAACTTGACCAGCTGATTGTAAAATTGACTCTAGCCATGGCACTCTTAAAAAATAGCTGGGAGGACTTCTTCTGCTGGATATCAAGATAGAAAGGTACAGTAATTAAGTAAGTATGGTATGGGCGGAAGCTGGCCAAGTGGGCCTGGTGGGATAGAAAGCGGAACCCAGAGTCGGACTCTCACGTCCACAGGAACTTCACCTACGACAGAGGGGGAGGCTGCAGAGCTGCAGGGACAGGACAGCCTTTCCAATAAAGGGTGCCGGGTCATCGGAAGGAGATCCAGATGGACAAAAATGAAGCTTGACCCCACTCTGCCACCACACACCAACACTGGTTCCAGGTGGGTGGCGATGGCAAAGGCGGGACAATAAACTTTACATGTTTCCTCTGCCTCATCTGGGCCACTCTGCTTCCAGTCACCACTGTTGTTTTGGTCTCTGTTCCATGGTCAAACTCTCTATTTTACTGACTTTTAACCTTTGTTTGCCTTCATGTAAAAGAATACAACCTGTTTTATGTTTGTCTTGAATTTTTAAATTATGCCAATTATTTTTTGTTCTTCAACTTCAGACTTTTGATTCATTTTCATATTCTATTATTCTACTGGTTTTATTCATTTCACCTTCTAAAATCTGTTTAACTATTCTTTCCTTTTTCCTTTTTTGTCTACTGTTCACAAATGCTAGCACATGAAGACCCTTTGTGTAATCAGCATATATGCATATCATTGGGATTGTCAGAAGGAAACAATATGTGGAATGGTTGCTAACAGCATTAGGGATACTGGGGGAGGTGTTTGCCAGAGTGACTTAGTAACTCAGTCAGAATGAAAGATTCATACAATTTGAAAATGAATTTGCATTACTTATACTTTCCATAGTTCCTTTAAAACATGGCCAAAATAGGTACCAATGTGTAGGTAATTATATTTGGAAGTAGAGAGAGAAGAGAGACAGAGAGGAAGAATGAGTTTGTGTCTATCTGAGAGACACAGTCTGACATAAGAGAGAAGAGTAGATGGGATGATGAATGAGGCTGGTGAGATGATGAGATTGCTGAAAAATAGAAGAAAGGAGCTGTGGTCTATAGTCCCAGGGATCACTATGTATGTAAGAGGCAAAGAAGGAAATGAGGTTGAGCTGAGGCAAAAGATGTCACTTTCTGTACCAAATGGGTCCCTGAGTGACTCTAAACAAACACTAGGAGCTCAGTCTCAGGTGGGGATCTCCCGCTTAGACAAGGGCTTGCATGGCAAGTCCATCACAAGGGGCCAGGGCTCCAACTTCTTTCAGCATCTACAGGGACCTAAGTATCTCTCCTGGTGGCCAGGCTCCAAAAAGGGGTAGGGGGACCCAGAAGCAGAGAGTGCTACTTACAGGCTTCCACCAAGGACCCAGCCACATCAGGAGACTGTGCCAGCAAGAGCAAGGGACACTGAGTAAAGCCCTCACGTGGACTCAGGAGTGAAGAGAAGCCAGGCAAGGGAGCTCTTGCCCAGGCTTCTCTCTGCATCTTAATCTTAGCGCCCAACACTTACCTTTCCAGGTTCTCATGTTGTCTAAACCAGAGAGAGAGATTCTTCTAGGAACCAGAGTGCATTCCAGCTTCTTGCTGCTGCTGTGCCCACTCCACAGGAGCTGCTCCTCTTGGCACCGTTCAGAGAGATGGCTTGGCTTAGGGGGGCGGGGAGGTGGAGTGCTGGTCATAATGTCTAGTTCTTTTGCCCCACATGGCAAGGAACCTTGGTTTTTATCTACCTGAATGGTGGGATTTAAGGAAGTTTCCAGCAATGATGAAGAAGATGGGTGGTCCCTGGATGGCCCATTGATGTCTTTACTCCAGATCAGGGCAGCCTGCGGCTTCGTGGAAGGTGCCTCTTGAGATCCATTTCCGTGGCATGAGGGGTGGACCAAATGACTGGAGGGTAGCGACTGCAGGCAGTCAACAAAGACATCATCAAAGGAAGTCTGTTCCAAAGAGCGGTCTGAGTTTGACCAGCTGTCACATCTAGTGGGTAGACTGAGGGAAGAAAAGCATGTACGTTGGACTGAAATGTAGCCATCCACCCATCACCAAACCCGTGCTTGCTGGCCTCATTCTCATTCCTCCAATATCACCCTTTTTCTACTTACAGAGCCATATTCCCTCTACAACCCTCAGTTACACCAACCCCTTTGTGTAGGAAAAGAAAAATGGTTTACTGACTTTTTTCATCCTACAAGCATCAGATACATAAGAAAATGCATGGTTAGAAGTGAAAACCACAATGCTGAAATATATGACTCATTTTGTTTAGTATACTTCATGCTTCATCTTTCACAGGGGTTAATGGCGATCTGTCGCTGCCTTGGCATTGGCAGGAAGGAAGGTGAGAACAGACACACCACTAGAAAATGCTACCGCTAAGTGGACTGACTTGATGAGGCACAGTGAGCACGTCTCAGTGACAGACTCCACAAGAGGAAGGAGTGTGGGTTCTGTGAAAAGAGGCCTGGGCATAGCCATACCTGGCATGGTGCAGTCTTCCAGTCTCACAGTTGGACAAAACCAGATAATCAGGAAGGAAGAGAAGCTCCGATTCACTTCTGGTTTCCTCAGTGGCTATGGCATTAGTGTTTGGGTTATCTCTTGGCAAGGAGGAGCTGGCAGCATGGGCAGTATGGAGGCAGCTGGCAGGAGATGGCTTGAGGGAGGAGGGCATGTGAGAGAGGCTCTCCATGGAATCTGCTGGAGAAATCATTTCCCAGGTTAATGTTGTAAGAATGGCTATAACACTCACTCAAAATTTCTCAACAGCATCTAAAAAGCCAAATAGAAGATGCAAATCACAGCTGGTGTTTGTACTGATGGACGAGACCATTTCCCCAAGCTATAAACAGTGTCTGGGAAAGAAGGCCAATGTTCCAACAGTGACGTGTTAAATCAATTAAGAGTAAAAAAATCAAGCATTCTTGGCCTAAAAATCTTCAGTTAGATGGTCTGCACACAGCTTCTTTATGGCCCTCAGCAGTAGTCCTGCATCATAGTTTATTTACTCAACAAACATGTATTTACATATATGTATTTATGCATAACAAGTATATATGTCTATATCTACATGTATGCTTATGCATACATATGTATGTATGTGTCTATATACACACACACGCACACACGAGAGAGATGTCTATATAAAATGCCTATGACATCTACTATGTGCCTAGAGCCATTCTAGAGCGAAGCCATAGACCCTGCCCTTAATGGAGTTTACATTCTAGCAGAGGAGACAGATAAATAACACATAAATAAAGAATCTTGTTAATGATTATTATAAGTAAAAGGAAGGAAAGAAACAGGGTGTTGTGATGGCTGGAAAAGCCCACATTTCCTAAGGAGCATAACATTCTCCCCATTGCCTAAGCATGGCTCTTAAGATGAATTTAGATCACGAACCAATGAGAACTCCAGATCAGAAATGGCCAATTAAAAACCTGCTTTTATTTCCCCTTTTAAGTGTGTTGGTACTTCAGGATTCCTGACTCAGAGTGACCCAGAACTGCCAGGGTTCAAGTCCAGGCTCTTGCAGGGGTGGAGAACCTGCAGCCTTAAGGCCACATGTGGTCTTCTAGGTCCTTAAGTGTGGCCTTTTGACTGAATCCAAATTTTACAGAACAAATCTTTTTATTAAAAGGGGTGCAGCATAGAAAGATGAAGCTTTTCTCGTGTCCTTTGGTGCTTAAAAAAGAACAATCTTGACATCAGAAGGCCGCAGGTTCCCCACCCTTGTGTGACTTACCGGCCTGCCCTCTCCAAGTTTCCTTCTTTGTAAAATAAAGATAATAACAGCACATATGACATCAAACTGGTATGGGGATGAGATGAGTTAATATGCAAAAGCATTTTAACAGAGCTCTTGGCCAAAATACACATAATGTGTTGACTACTCTATGGTTGCTGGAGACAGAACCAAACACTATACATGAAAAGCCACAGGAAAGCCCTTTCAGTGTAATTCTCAAAGAAGACTCTGCCCTTAAACTGAGGAGGGGAGGGCGCTACAGGAACGAAAGGAGTCATAGGGGAATTTTCTGGCTTCTTCCAACTTCACACCAGGGCAGGGCTCTTTATTTTTTGCCTGGTGCTTTACTTATTCCTGTTGCTCTTAGGTTATTGTGAAACACATTATGTACATGTGTTTTATGATAACTCTTGGATGAGGAAAGAAACAGAGGAGACATATAACACGATACATGAATATATATCTAGTTGGGGCTGAAGACAAGGAAAAGGGAGCCAGCAGCAAAGCTTGGTTTGCATAGCATCAGACTAGCCAGGGTGGACTTACTGTAACTTTGGACATAAGCTGTGTCTTTGCACCAAGAATAAAGAACTTGCCATCACTTCATTTTCTTTTATTTGAGTGCTCTCAAAGTTCAGCAATATTACTAAATAGCCTCACTTAATAAGCTTCCCTGGTTCATGAAAAGAAAAGGAATTTGTCTTCAGCACACACCCTCATGTGCCTGTTCTAGAGGGAAATGCAACTCTGACTCTCCATCGCCACCTAGTGGTATAATGTAGATATTTCAGTGGCAGATGGTAAAAAAACAGTAACTGTTGAAATGTTGAAGCAACTGTAGACCACAGGATTTAGGGGCAAGATTTTATCTACTAGACTAAGAGGCTTAAAAAAAACATATTCAAAAATCCCATATTTTTATGGTCAGGGCATGGTGTAATAATTCCAGGGACTCAACAACAAAATCCATGCAGGGAAGTGAATTGTAACCCTAGGTTCCAATATACCTGGTCTATTACATAGGAAGAACAGTATGTGTGTGTGTGCAGGGGGGCTCTTCATGAGTCAATTGCTCCCACTGCCCAGAAATGGCCCACAGCAAACTTACAACTAATTTCCCCTGCAGAGAACTTGAGACAGTTGGAGATATGAGGAACTCTTTCTTGCCTGTGATAAGTAGCCAAGTTCTGTCTTTCTATGATTTGGTGCTGAAAAACCAAAAAGGCACCACAAAAGCTGGAGTTTCACGACTTTTTGAAAGATGGTGATATTTCATATATCTAGAAAATGAAGTGTCATCATCTTGGGGAAAATCAGAGCCCGGTAGGCCATCTTTACCCACATTTGACTTTCACTGTGGCTGAATGAGAAAAAAGACATGAAAGGATTTGAAAGCCATCAAAGTCACCTGCAATGCTCAATGTGTGGATAGATCCTGCCTTCCCATATTTAGACTTGAATCCTAGAACCAGGCAAAAGAGGGCAATTTCCAGTACTTGGTAGGAACAGTTCTGATATAAATTTGCCTGCCGCAGCACCCTCAAGGAGGCCAGCTTGGCACCTTGAACCGTTTTTCTGCGGTAGCTCTCCAATGCAGGTGCAGTGTCCTGGGCTACCCCTTAGCATACAGGAGCCCCAATTCCACTCTTACCTGCACTGTCCTCCAGGTGGCCCAGGTTGCAGACCTGACTGATGCTGTGTACCCACACCTGCATTTCTTCCTCAGTCTTGGCCACCAGATAAAACGTACGGGAAGTGGTCTTAACAATGAACACGAAATTATTCTGAAATTCCTTCCGAACAAAGCCAGGGCCCACGTGCTTCCACACTGCACACTCGCTGAGGTCTATCACCCGGATGGGCTTGCTCGAGTGCTTGTTCCTGTAGTACTCCAAGACATCAGGGTTGCCACTCATGCGGCCCCGCCGGAGGACAAACCAACGTTTGCGCCAGGCCTGCAGAGAGGCAATTCAATAAGAAGTTACTGGACCAATTGCCCTTACTTCTCAGGCTCTGCCAAGAACCTATGTCATGACAAGGACAGCAGGAAGGAAGCAAATCAGCCATTATAATGATGAAACACTTTGTATTAAAGGACTAGTGTACCATCTTCAAGTCTACTTTATTAGATGCTTTTAAGGATGAGTCAGGATTGGGGAGTCTAGTAATGGTATTCTCACTCACAGTTTGAAGGAGCAGAATTATACGATCATTACAACTGACGCAGCATAAAGAATGTAATACAAATTTAATGTATACTTAGGCTTTAAAAGAATCTTAGTAATGAAGAAGAAGGAAACTTTCTTACTATTTTCTATCTCAGTCCAAGAGCCAATATGGTACATTCAAATCAGAATCAAATGATGAGTGTCCACCATTGCCAGTATCCTCTAACATTGTTATTTAAGTTCTAAAGAATTGGCCAAGAAGAAAAATCATATACAATGGAGAGGAAGAGAGAGGATTACCATTATCTGAAGGTAATATAATTGTCTTTCCATAAAAACTCCAAGGATGATTAAAACACTAATAGAATTCTAAGAGAATTAAGTAGCATGGTTGTTTACACTTCCTATGTAAGATAGCCTTTTCTAAGTGCTTTACCATAATCCACTTAATCTCCAAAATTACCCTCTGGGAGAGGTAAGCATTACTATCTCCATCTTATATATAATGAAATTGAGATTCAGAGAGAACAAATAATGCACCCAAAGTCATGTGGCTAAACAGCTGTAGGAATGTATCTGAACTCAGATGGCGGTAGAAGGGTCAATAATGAAGCAAAGAAAGCAGAAAGAGGAGTGTAGCCAACTCTTTAGAGATGTATGATTACAAAGGCAGAAAGCTGGGGGGTCAAGGAATTTTTTTAAAAAAATGAGAGGCACTTAAGCATTCACCCCCTTGGAGTCACAATGTTTCTCAACCAGGAATAGTATCATTGCCTAGGGGGCATCTGAAACTATGTATTTTTTGCTTGTCATAAAGGCGGGGGGCATGGCAGAAATTGTCTGGCTTAAAGCTATCAATACCCCTGTTGTGAAACACTATAAGAACTAAAAGGAAATTTCCTTGATGGAATATGAGCCTTGGAAAGAGCTGAGCCTTGAGGTAAGATGAGCAAAGGTTAGTCCATGCTCAGAAAAGAGAATGATATTCCACAGAAACCAGTGGCAGGTGGCTTTTGGGGCTCCTCTGCTCCCCACTCAGCCTTGACCTAGAATGTTTGCCGTAGACAGTACCATCTTGGCTCAGCAAGGGGTACAGGTCTGGGGAAGCAGCTATTTGCAGTTGTCCAAAGCCCTAAGGAGTCCTCTGAAGCTATAAACTTCCCTGCCCTCTCCAAGAGCCAGGGAGGAGAAATGTGGAACCTCTGCTATAGGGGACTGTGGCATTAGACTCAATTGGGAATTGAGCACAGAGAAAGATGACAGGCTGACTGCAGGGTTTTCCTCCACTGGAGACACTTGATGTTGCAGCGGAGAGATTTATAGCTCTGTGGTTTTCTCTCCCATGTGGCGGCATGTGTGACAGCAGTTAGTGCGGGCTTCTGCCAGGAGGTATGGCAACCACTAGGACAGGAAGTCTTTTGTATCTGTAGCTCCATTTATGCCTGACATTTTTATAAGTCCACCAGCTTTGACTAAGGGGGCAGAGAAAAAGAAAAAGCCAGTATTTGGAGTGTTCTCAGCTCCCTCCCTGCTCAGAGAACATGATATTTGAGGTAGCAGAGAAGCCAGAGAAGCACTGAATAGTGAAAGCCAATCGTCACAGATGACCCACAATTATGCCTCAGAATAAAAAGCTCTTTTCAGGGCTATGGCAAGGAGCAGCAAGGAGAAGGAGGGTAGTCACTCCATGTCAGGTTGGGGCAGGTGAACCCTGGCTGGGTGCTACCTTCACAGACAGTATAAAGCTCTGAGAAGAGGTTTGGTCACTCAGGACATGAACAAGGCAGTGTGATTACGTCCATGGTTTTAAGACAGGAGAAATAACAGCATGTTTGTATGCTTATGAGGGTGACCTAGGAGGGAGAGAAAAATTAATGATTCAATAAATTCCTGTTGCAAATACATGGCATTGGATGAGAGTGGAGCCACTAAACATGTGAGAAGGAGCTTGAGTCTGGCCGTGAGGTTTGGAACGTGGGAGGTGGAAAGCTGGGGTTTCTGGCATCAACTAAGGCAAACAGGAATGTAAAGCCTGGTCCCAAGCGCTCCCTGAAATGAGGAAAGCTTTCATGGGGAGCATGGGATACCCCAAACTTTCCAAAGGCCACTTTGGTGGGGAAATGTGAAGAGGAACTTTGTCGCACTTCCTAAAAATGATTCTAAAAGGGGAAGTCTAACTGAGCACAGAAACAAGTTTCACATTAACTGCTCTTAGTTCTATGGAAACAATAGATTTAATAACAATGTTGAGAGATAGTAACATCAAGAGTTTGTTTGTGGAGTGCCTACTCTGCACCATGTGTCTTGCTAGAGAAGGGGTTACAGCTGATCACTCTCTAGCTGGGATGCGGAGGGGCACAGGAATACGAAATGGGTAGATTTCAATACAGGGTAATGAGTGCTTTAGCAGAACAGCCAACCAGGAGTGGTGAGAGTGCAAGGACGAGAATGACACAGACCAGTTTGGGCTTCATTCATCCGTTCAACAATTACTTATTTATAACCTACTAATGTGCTGGACTTGGTGCAGATACTGCGGAAGTTGAGGTGAGCAAGCCACAGGCCCTGCCACTCACAGTTTCATGGGTGGCAGGTGAGGTGGGCAGATGAATAAACACACAATTGCAGTCAGTGAGATAAATGTTACGATAAGAGAAAACCAAGATGCTATGGAACACACAAGAGAGACATCTCTGTCAGATTAGTGGTTTATAGAAGCTTCCAGGAAGAAGTGGTAGCTAAGCTGAGACTGGAACAATAGGGCAGAGGAATCAGCATGTGCGAAGGCATTAAGATGGAAAAGGCATGAAGCTTTGTGTGAATAGTTCAGCAGGACTGAAAGGCAGGCATGAGAGCAGAAAGGAAAGAGGACAGTCACTTGAACAGGATGTAGCCTAGTCTTAATGCTAATACATGCAAAATTGCCAGCACGCCCTCCTTGGGTTTTTAAACCTCTACCTAAGACTTGTGGTTATGCAAAAGCAGAAATGACGTGTTCTTGGATCTCTTTGCTATGTAGATGATGGCTAAACCATCTAGGTTTGTGTAAATACACTCTAGGATGTTCACACAACAACGGAATCTCCTAAGTGATGCATTTCTCAGAACACATTCCCGTTGTTGAGTGATGAATGATTGTATAATAATTACAGTAGCTTGAAATCCAGCAAATATATTTAAATCTACGAGTTCGTTGTGGTATTAAAAAACAAAAAGAACTTGTCATCTTCACAGGATGTGAAGGAACCACTTCATTACCTTGAAAACTAGTTACGGAAAGAACCAAGCATTGTCCCACCTTTCCCATGTGAGCTGTCCCACTGGGTAGATGAATGAAGGTATCTCTTTATGAATGTATTCTGGCTAATAAATGAAAAAAAATGATAGAATTAGAATTTCCCCATTTTTCTAGCCCCAGTGAATTAATATGCACAGGTATTAAGCATCAACAGCAGTTAACTCAGTAAGAGAAACAAGCAGACACCCTGTCACTCCGATAGCCTGGTGTAAGGGCACGGTCAGCAAAGGCCAGAATGGGAAACTCACCAGGTCAAAGGCCCACGTTGTTCAGATAAATAATAAGAAAAAGAAAGGCACAGCAAAGGAAACAATCAACAAAATGAAAAGGCAACCTACCAACTAAGAAAAAATACTTGCAAACCACATATCTGATAAGGGGTTAATATCGAAAACTTATTTTTAAAAAACTCTTACAACTCGGTCGGGTGAGGTGGCTCATGCCTGTAATCCTAGCACTCTGGGAGGCGGAGGCAGGAAGATTGCTTGAGCTCGGGAGTTCAAGACCAGCCTGAGCAAGAGTGAGACCCCGTCTCTACGAAAAATAGAAAAATTAGCCAGGCATGGTGGTGCACATCTGTAGTCCCAGTTACTCGGGAGACTGAGGCGGCAGGATCGCTTGAGCCCAAGAGTTTTTGAGGTTTCAGTGTGCTATGATGATGCCACTGCCCTCTAGTCAGGTTGACAGAATGATACTCTGTCTCAAAAAATAAATAAATATAGCCAGGCAACTTAAAATAGAAAAAATTAGCCGGGTGTAGTGGCGCGCATCTGTAGTCCCAGCTACTAGGAAGGCTGAGGCAGGAGGATCGCTTGAGCCCAGGAGTTTGAGGTTGCTGTGAGCTAGGCTGACACCATGGCGTTCTAGCCCAGGCAACAGAGTGAGACTCTGTCTCAAATAAATAAATAAATAAATAATTCTCACAACTCAATAGCAGAAAAAAATAACCCAATTCTAAAATCACAATGGATCTGAACCGACATTTCTCCAAAGAAGAAGAAAAATTGGTTTTGATTTGCATTTCTCTAATGATTAGAGATGTTGAGCATTTTTTTATATGTTTGCTGGCCATTATTCTGTCTTCTTTTGAAAAGTTTC